TGATGCGCGGCCGAAGAAACTGAGTCACAGAGAGGGCTCAGGGAGTCTCTGCCCAGGCTGGGAATTGGAGCCAGGAGCCCTGACCCCCCTCCTCCTGCCTATCCCATGAGACCCCCCTCCCCTCCCTCACTCTCAGCACGTCTGAGCTTGGTGCGTGATCCCCATTCACAGGGGGAGAAACTGAGTCACAGAGAGGGCTCAGGGAGTCTCTGCCCAGGCTGGGAATTGGAGCCAGGAGCCCTGACCCCCCTCCTCCTGCCTATCCCATGAGACCCCACTCCCCTCCCAGAGACAGGAATAGAACCCAGGAGTCCTGGCCCCCAGAACGCTGCCTAGGCACATGCACTTGTTTCCACCCCTGCTGGCCCCCCCCCGCCCGGTACCTGTTCAGCAGCTGCTGCATGAAGTTTTCGGCCGTCACCTCCTGGTACATGACCTGCAGCTCGTTCTGCGTCTGCTCCACGAGGATGCCGCAGGCGTGGGGCCGGCCCTTCTCCAGCGCCAGCCCGTTGATGTAGGCCTTCTCGGCCTCCAGCGCCTTGCGCAGGTCCTCCGCCTTCTCCATCAGCTTGGAGATGTTGAGGCTCTCCGCCTCCAATTTGCAGGCCGCCACCTTCCCCTCCCGGCGCAGCGGCGAGGCGGCCCCGCCCCACTGCTTCCGCTCCTCCTTGGCCTGGAGCCCCTCGGGCCGCCGGCTCAGGGCGGGCAGCTTGCTCCGGCGCAGCCCGAACCAGCCGGCGATGCCGCTGGAGTTCTTCGGCTTCCCCTCGCCCGCCAGCCCCTTGTCCCGGCCCTGGTGCCGCAGCACGTTCTCCTCGATGCCCTTCATCACCTTCTCCTCGATGGCCGAGTGCAGCGCGGGGCCGACCGCGGGCAGAGCTTGGCCAGGCAGGGGCGGGGCCCTGGCACAGTCAGGGGGCTTGCGGCCCGCGCCGGGCGGCGGTGTGGGGGGTGGCTTGGGGCCACCGGGCCTTGGCTCCTCTGCTGGCGGGCGGGGAGCCCCAGCCTTGGCCGGCGCCTTGGTGGGCGATTTGGAGGGCAGCTTGGTGGGGCTCCCATGGGGGCTCTTGACGCCCTTGGCCGGGGGCACCGGAGGGGCTTTGGGGGGGTTCCTGGGGCCCAGGGGGGTCCCCGCTGCACCCAGCGCCCCCGGCTGGCGGGCTTTGGCGGCGTAGTGCTTCGAGGAGCAGGTCTCAGCCTCCAGCCGGGAGCCCACCGAGCCAGAAGAGTAGCACCGCCCGGCCAGCTCCACGCCGTGGCACTGCTCCTGGTGTTTGAGGCTGCCGCCCGCGCCCGGCCGAGGCTGTGCCCTGGCCTCCAGCGCCTCCTCACAGGGCCGGCCTGGTGCCCTGGCCTTCCCAGGGCAGGTGTTTTTCTCCGGGCCCGGCGCCTCCTTCCGCTCCCCGGTCTCGGCCCCCTTCAGCTTCCCCAGCGCCGAGAGACGCTCCTTAAACGGCAGGTGTCCCGGCTCCAGCTGCTTCTTCCCAGCGCTGTTCCCAGGCCTCCTGGGCCCGGCGGAGCCCCCGGCACCCCTGCGGGCGGCCGGCGGGGACTCAGCGCCCCGCTCCCGGCCCTCCTTGGCAGGGGCGTAGGGGCACAGCTCCGGCGGGCAGTGGGGGGCGTCTGGCCTGGTGCCTCGCGACGGGGTCGAGCGGGAGCCCTTAGGCCGCTCCAGCGGGGAGGCCAGGCCGCCCACCGACAGCTCCGAGACGTTCTCGTAGTCGTGGGACTTTGGGGGGCCATGCCCAGCGGCCTCGGCCGGCCCGGGGGCCAGGTGCCTGCCAGCCTTGGGGGAGGCCTGGCCGCCAGCCCCAGGGGGCAGGGGGCAGGCAGGCACCGCGGGCCCCTCGGGGGAGGCCCTGCGGCTGAGCACGGGCGAGGGGCACGGCTCGTAGCTGTTGCTACGGCAGGGGATCTTGGAGCTGCGGGTGAGCTGGGGGCTCAGGCGCAGAGGGTTGGGGCCCTGGGGCTTCTCCCCGGGCGTGGGCATCTTCAGGAATTTGACCATCTTGGAGGGGGAGGGCAGGGGAAGTGCGCCACCGCCCGGGGACGGGGGGCCCGGCTGCAGCTTGGGCTTGCCCTGAGCCGAGGTCTGGCCGAAGCCTTTGGCACTCTTCTCGGGGGGCTCGTCTCCGGAGAGGCAGACGCTGAGGTAGGCCTGGCGCTCCAGGGCCGGCTCCAGGGAGGGCCCCAGGGCCTGGCCGCCGGCGGCTGGGCTGAAAGCTGGCTTGTCTGCGTTGCCCTGGCCCGGGCCCGACGCCAGCTTCGTGGGCTGGTACTTGCCCATGACAGAGAGGCCGGTGAGCACGTCCCGGCTCAGGGCCTTGCCCAGCACCCCTGGCTTGGGGCCCAGCGCCCCCGGGGGCCCCTCCAGACGGTAGGCAGCGGCTGGCTCCCCGTTGAGCGGGCAGCCCTGCTTCAGGAAGTGCTGCAAGTAGCACTCGGTCTCCTCCAGCAGCAGACCCAGGTCCAGCTTCTTCTCAGCCAGGGTGCTCAGCAGGGCCTCGCCCGGGGGGCCCTTCTCCACAGGTCCCAGCTCCCCCAGCTCCCCCGTCTCGTCGGAGGAGGACGAGGAGCTGCCCTCCCTCTTCTGCTGGCAGCACAGTGGGGGGAGCAGCTGGGGGCGCCCCCCCTCGGCCTCCAGGGCCCCCCCCTCCTTGCCCTTCCACTTCAGCGCCTCCTCCAGGCCATTCGGTGCTGGCGGCAGGCAGGACGGCCACAGCTCATGGGTGGCCGCCAGGGGCCCCTCCCCATTCACCGGCGACTCCGGCTGGCTCCGGCTGGCCGCTAGGGATTTGTGGGAGCCGGGCTCCGCAGGGGAGTGGCTGGGGTCCCTCCAGGGAGACAGCTGGCAGGGTGGGGGGCACAGCAGAGGGTCCGTCTCCTCCAGCTTCCGCAGCACCTCCAGGATCTGTGCTTTCTTCTTGAAGAACGGAGACAAGGCCTCCATGGACTGAGAGCCGGGGCCGCCTGCCCTCAGCCCTCCGTACCCCACCTGGGGAGAGGGGCAGGAGAGGCCGTGAGATGCCCGGGGCCCGGCTCCCAGCTACGCCAAGGCCCCCCGATAATCCAGACCCCAGCCCAGACAGCGGCACGGCCAGAGCACGCCGCACCGTGTCCGTTTGCTGCTTCCCGGGGCAGACAACAGGGGTAGGCCCAGGCCTAGAACACGGGGTTCTGGGGTCCCCCTCGGTCCCAAGGCTCAGCCAGACAGTGGGGACGGGGTGGTTAGTGGGAGCCCAGGTTGTTGGGGGGTGGGAAGCCCCTTTGCTCTGGGAGCTGTGGAAGGGCAGGGGGCTGACTCGCCCTGCTGCAGGCTGGGCTGGGGGGCAAGGGGACGGCCAGCCATGGAGGGAGCTTGATCCTCACAGGAATGACCCACATACGCCAGCCCCCCTCCCCACTTGGCAGTGGGCAGCCTGGGCACTGCTGAGATGGGAGCATGGCAGGTACTATGGCAATGCTGCTGGGGACGCGGAGGGGATGTGCCCTGCTCCCTCCCCTGTTAACGGGATCACCCCTCCCCACATCCTCAGCAGCCCCCGCGCCGAGACCCTCCCCTGAGGAACCAGAGCTGCTCTGTCAGGCCCAGTGCAGCTGGGGGCGCCCAGCCTCGGTTCTGCTCCCGGGAGGTGTGGGGCAGCAGGGGGGAGCCTGAACCTGGGGGGGGGGCATTGGGGACCCAAAGACAGACCCCTGTCCCCGATCCGGAGGAGCCACCACTGAGCATCAGCCCAAAGTGCTGCCCTGGGAAGCCGAGGTCTCTGCACCTTCCCAAGGCCATGGGTGGGCAGGAGACCCCGCCCCCCAGGGCACAAGGGGCCTGGCTGAGCAACCCCCGATCCGATGGGGCCCCCCCAGCCTGGCCCCAACTCAGCAGCCCAGCCAGGATCACCTGCCCCAACAGTGCACAGGTGGGGAAACCAAGACACTGAGGGGGATGTGACCTGCCTGAGGTCCCCCTGGCACAGAACCCAGGAGTCCTGGTTCCCAGGGCCCTGCTGCACTTGGGCCCAGCTCCAGGGACACAAAAGCCGGGGGAGGGTTTGGCTGCTCCTGCAGGGGCCTCTAGGTCTGGGGCAGCCACATGCCTGCAAAGGCCCCACTCACCCTGCCCAGACAGCGCCCATCCTGCCAGTACCCCAAGCCCCATTCCCCTGCCACCCCTCCCTGCAGCTCCCCATTGATCTCAGTGTCCCCCATTCCCCTGCCACCCCTCCCTGCAGCTCCCCATTGATCTCAGTGTCCCCCATTCCCCTGCCACCCCTCCCTGCAGCTCCCCATTGATCTCAGTGTCCCCCATTCCCCTGCCACCCCTCCCTGCAGCTCCCCATTGATCTCAGTGTCCTGCAACAGAACCCACGTCTCTGACCGGGAGGCTCGGGCCCGGCGAGGACAGCAGCTGCCCCCCAACGCCCCTCTCCTGGTCTATGGGCCGAGAGCAGCAGGGAGCCTGGCTGGGCGGGGAACCAAGGGGGCGCGGGACATACCTCCCTCGGCAGGGCGCAGCGTCCCAGGGGCAGCGGAGGGGCCAGCTTCTCCACCGAGCCCAACTGGAGACCGGCCGGGGGGCTGCACACCGCGGGCACCGGGTGCAGGGCCAGCTGGGGGCGAAAGCAGGGCAGTGAGGGGCGGAGACGCCGCAGGAGCAGGAGAAGAGGGGGGAGTCGGGGACCCCGGGCAGGAGCTGCGGAGGAGAAGGCTCACGGGCGGGCGGGAGATTGCAGTGGGATTGTGGAATGCATGGGGAGCTGGCCGAGGCATGGGGAGATCAGGCAACGAGGAGGAGTCAAGGGGGGCCCAGCTATGGCTGAGAGGGGGCAAAGAGCCATCGCTGGGGAAGGGGGACCCCCGGGACGTTTCAGTGTCTCTCGTAATGCTGTGCATAAGGGCTCATCTCTTAGTGCCTGCAGAATTCAGCAGCGGACAGGGGGCTGGGGGAGCAAATGGGGTGGCCAGGGAGAGGTGGGTGGCTGAGGCTGGACCGGGCGGTGGGGGGGGGGGGGGGGGG